TCAGTGTCACATGATCCTTTAGAAATCATTCAAATATGCTGATTTATTAGCATTGTTGGAAACAGTTGTGCTGCTTAAAATTTTTAATAAAAAGTGAGCTTAAAGACTAAAATTGTTACAAAAGATTTGTGACCCTGGACCACAAAACCAGTCATAAGTGTTCATTTTTTGAAATTGAGATTTAATTCATCATCTGAAAGCTGTTTAAATAAGCTAGGATAGGACAAATATACCTGTGCTACTTACGACTGGTTTTGTGGTCCAGGGTCACATTTCTAATTTGATTAAACGCTGTTCTTTTTTTAACTTTTTAACTCAGGACTAACTCTCAAGCAATGGAGACGTTTAGGACGGAGGTGCATGTTCCTCCAGGCAGCAAAGTGGAGTTTGAGCTGCACTATCAGGAAATGATGCAGAGGAAGCTGGGCGTCTACCAGCACACGCTACACTTACAACCTGGACGCCTGGTTCCACTGCTGCAGGTCAGTTCCACACGCGCAGTACAGAAATATACACGAGTTGTGTTTTACGTGTTTTGTTGATGGTTGTCTCTCCTCAGGTGGATGTGTATATATTTGAGCCCAAGGGTATCAAGTTTGTCACGGCCTCTAACACACTGGGAGAGGAATTAGCAGATTTGACCAAAATCAGCCACACAAAAGAAAAAGCCCACATTGTGTTCAAACCAACTCTGCAGCAGCAGCGCAAGTGTGAAAACTGCACAGAAAGTGCAGTGGATGGTGTGTTTACTGTGAAATACGATGTGGAGAGAGAGAGCAATGCTGGAGAACTTCAGGTACGGATGCACATTCACTGTTAATAGTTGACATACAAAATCCCTATCAGGTGAAAGTCCACCCCACCAGGTGTAAGTTTTTCTATTTTCATTATAATTGTATTTAAAATTTGAGCAATGATGTGGTCTTACTAAATTAAAATGAGAAATGTTGACTAGCTGGAAAAAAAATCTATTCTTTTATTTCAGGTAATGAAAATATAATTTTTATGGTGTAATTTAATAACCGTGGTCAGAAATCATGCAGCTATGCTTTTTTTTTTT